CGCTCTGAGGAGCCCGGCGCTAGCCATGAAGGAGCCTTTTGTTCTGGGACCGCTCCGCGTCGGCCGCTCAGTCCCCGCCCGGGGAAGTCGGGCGCTTCCCCAGCTCCCCGCTGCCCGACCGCAGCCGCCGCAAAGGGTCTGGAGACAGGCGCGGCGGCCCCGGGGGAAGCCGAGTTGCCAAGACCCGGCAGCTCCGGGAGGCGGCGGCCCGGGGACTGGGGAGCCAGCAGGCGCAGGAGCGAAGAGACCTGGACACGTTCCCAGAAAGGGGCTAGCCCTGGAGCTAGCCCCCTCACCCCCACTGCACTGCTCCTGCCTGAAACCCCACAGGGTGTGTGGTGGGGCCTCGGTCTCCAGAAAAGCCAAGCTCTCCAATGGGTCACTCCAACTATCAACACGGGTGATGCTGACAGATTCCTCCGGTTGCCTAGCAACGGGACCTTGCGTAGTAGATGCTCAAGAAATACTTGCTGGGGCCGGGCACAGTAGCTCATGCCTGTGATTCTAGCACTCTGGGAGGCCGAGGCGGGAGAATCGTTTGAGCCCAGGAGTTCGAGACCAGCCTGGGCAACAAAGCGAGACCTCGTCTCTACAAGAAAAAAAAAATTTTTTTTAATTAGTAAGGTGTGGTGGTGCACTCCTGTAGTCCCAGTTACTCGGGAGGCTAACACAGGAGGATAGCTTGAGCCTAGGCGTTGGAGTCTTCAGTGAGCCATGGTGGTGCCGCTGTACTCCAGCCTGGGCAACAGAGCAAAGCTCTGATGAAAGAAAGAGAGAAGAAGGAAGGGAGGGAGAGAGGGAGGGAGGGAGACTAGCTAAATGAAGGCATGAGATTCACGTTACAGTGTTGGGTGGGAAGGACTTTGACTTAGAGATAAGGTTGCTAGAAGTTATCATTCATTCAACTTATATATGGAGCCCATTCTGTGTGCCCTGGGCCTGGCCTTCACCTGACTTACTGTCTAGCACCATAAAGTCAAGTTTGATTGTTGTTGCCTTCACTTATGAAATAAAAAGTGACTGCTCAGCTCATTCCCATGCCTGCCAGCTAAAACCCACCACTGGGCTTGATCTCTGGGGTGCCCAGAGGCTTCTAGGGACCGCTGTGTCATAAATGTCCACTCTGAGTGACATCCACTCTGGGATGCTCAAGGCATCTGGGGAGCCCTGGTCAGAAGCATTCATTCTGGGTGGCTTCTGGGGAGCCCTATGTCAGAAGCGTCCACTCTGGGGTGCCTGAAGGCTCCTGGAGAGCTCTGTGTCAGAGGCATCCACTCTGGGGTGCCCTGTGTCAAGAGGTGTTCCTTCATCACCCATCCCCCACTGCCTCATCCAACTGACTGAGCCTAAGGGCAAGGAGAGGAGGGTCCACCACAGTCTGCAGGAAAGGTTGATAAGTGCTTTGTCACTGACACCACAAGCAGCCTAGGCTGGAGCCCTGAGTTCTCTGTAGCCCCTTCTGCAAACTGGTCCCATCTGATGGCACCCCCTGATGCCTTGACCCTCTGGGTGGGTTTCCCAGATGCTTCAGAATCACCTTTGCTGGACTCTGTTTCCATCCTTTCTTCTTTCTTTTTTTCTTTCTTTCGTTTTTGTTTTTTTTTTTGTATTGGACTCTTACCCCGTCGTCCAGGCTGGAATGGAGTGCAGTGGCACAATCATGGCTCACCACAGCCTCGACCTCCTGGGCTCACGTGATCCTTCTGCCTCAGTCTCCTGAGTAGCTGAGATTACAGGTGCATGCCACCAAGCCTGGCTCATTTTTTGATTTTTGTAGAGACCAAGTCTCACCATGTTGTCTAGGTTGGTCTTGAACTCCTGGACTCAAGCAATCCTCCTGCCTCAGCCTCCCAAAATGCTGGGATTACAGGCGTGAGCCACGGCATCTGGCCTGAACTCTATTTCCATATTCTGCCTCCCTCTACTAGAAGACAAAGAGGATGGAGAGACACAGAAATAAGACCAACATGGAATCTCTCTTCTCCCAGCCATGCCCCAGGGACAACAGCACGCATGTCTGAAAATCCTGTCCGCAAGTCCAGAGGGAGCTGCTCTGAGCATCTAAGAAAGGCTTGCCAGCCTCCCTCAGCCTTCGTCTCCTTAACTGTTCATGGGCATTTGGACTCCTCCAGCCCAGTCATTGCAATACAATGGCTCTACCTGCATCACAGTCAGAGGGGGTGTCAGCAGTGAAAGGGAACCTCTCTCCTGAACGAACGAGGATGGGGAGGTGAGGCTAGCATGCATCAAAATCCTCCTCACCTTCTTTTCCCTACCTCACTTTGAAGGTCTAACTGGCCTCCTTTTACAGAGAAGATCCAGGCTCAGAGAAGTAAGGAAACATTCCCAAGGTCATAACGCAAAGATTCAGACCCAAGTTTACATAGCCCAAAGGCCCACACTTTCTGTGCCAGAATGTGGTGGGCTCATCTGGACCCGTGAATCTGACCCTGAAGTTGTCAGATCCGGTAATGAAGATCTAAATTTTATACTATAAAAGTTCTAGCTCCTCCTCTTTTGCAAGAATGAATCAAGCTGTCCTTGTGTACTGGGGTCTACATCTGAGAATTAGTTACCTGCCCAAAGGCAAATTCCTGTGGCACAAAATGTAGCTTTAGGAAGCATCATCATTCAGTCAATCAACAAACATTCATCGGGCATCCCTCCAGTGCAAGGCAGGTTGCAGATCCTCACTGGAAGTTATTTTGACCCCTGGGTGAAGAAGGACCTTCTCCAGAATGGCATCAGCAGGATGGGTCATCGGGAGGACCTGGGGAGGTTATCGGTGGGTGCAGTCGGGCAGAAAGCAGGACCAGGGTCCAGTGCTCCTGAACTTGCGCTAGGCACTGGTCCAACTTTCTCTGCTTAATCACCGGGTGCCTCCCCTTCCTTCCTTTTCTCTCGCCTCTACTTGTGTTCTCCCTTCTCAGAATATGCACAAAGACAAGTTTGTGACACCCCCTCCCAAAAAACTCTACCAAAATAAATAAGGAAATTAATCCCAGCACCATCTCCCCCAACGTGCCAGAAATCAAACCCAACTCCTGCTCAACTGCGCACCTGGAATAGGCTGCCTGGGGCGGGGAGGG